GGTCACCTGATTTGCTGAAGGCCTTAAACTAATGAAAATTTAAGATCTTCAACAGTTTGTTACAAACATGAAATACAAACAAACTGATATATGCAATTGTTTGCCAGAAAAAGAGGGATTGGCTTTATTTGGGAACATAAACTTTGCTGGTACTTGTTACAAACATGAAATACAAACAAACTGATATATGCAACTGTTTGCCAGAAATAGAGGGATTGGCTTTATTTGGGAACACAAACTCTGCTGGTACTAAATGGAGATTAGCACTTTAAAAAGTTGTCAGCATGTTAAAATGAAATGTATGCAGAATGTGTCCCCAAACAGCTGCAGCACAGAGCATTTTGACAAGACACCTGCAAGGTAAAGTCATAATAACTGAGTTTATGATGCTGCTCCAGACGTAAATTAAAACAAGAAAGTATTTGCACAATATGAGATAACTTCCCAGTAAACTGTGGGGTAAAGAACACATGCATTGTTGGAACAATGTATGTACATGAATTAAGACATGAAATGTAACCTATGTGGGACAGTGCTCTGAGTTAAGTCTTCCCCATAGTGGCATGTCATGGTTGGTGATCCTGACTTGAAATATTAAGAAGCCAAGTAATGTGGCAGGGACAAGTAGCACTCAGAAGATTTTACTTGCAAGCATGTGTATTTGGTCATGGCACTCAACAGTTTCAACTCAACTCTTATCTGGGTTCTGCAGCACCAACACAACATTCCCCACTGACACCTGTTATGTGACTCAGGATAAAAACCTGAAAAAGGAACAGGCACCCAACTATCCTCAACAGACAACAAGCATCTCTTCTATATTCTCTTTTAAAGACATCACATAACATATTCTTTTTCAGTCACACACTGTCTAGATAGATCAATCTTTGCATGACAGGACTGAAGTTGACAAGGAGCTGAGGAAGGAAAGGTCAGCTCTGACCTACTTAGGTCAGAAACAACCAGAAAGTGCTGAGAGATGCAGGTCAAACTGGCTAACTACTGCAGTCCTGCCTCATCTGCAACTGGTGTAGGACAGACATGAAGCAGAAAGGTATTTCTTGAACTTCTCAATGTATATTTGCAATGAATTAGTGTTGCTCCTAAATTTCAGGCCAACAACAATGAAGTGCACCAGGGCTATATGAACTTTTCCTTGTCTTTCTGCCCCCTAGGGTCTCAGGGCTCTCTTGGACTGCAAGACTACAGTAAATGTCTTTTTTCTCAAGTGCCTCCCTGTTTGCTTTGGTGTCTCTAGCTTTTAAACAGAGGCTTGACTCAGGCCTGCTATTGCCTGCATGTGACAGGGCCTAACTCATTTGTACAAGAGAAGTAAAACCAGGCAGAAACCCTCCATGTGTAGGACAAGTCTATCATTAGTAACAGGCAAGGCAGAATTTAAACTCTCTAACTGATAGAAAGGTTTTCACCACTTGCTATCTGCCCTTCCAAGAGTTACACATCCTGAAAACTCCTGCAACAGTGCTGGGTAGAAGAGAATGAAGTGAGCTGCAATGTCTCTCACTGAGAGAAATCAAGTGTACTGGATTGCTCACAAGCTCTAGTAAGGATGAACTCCTACATTTCTTTAAAGCAGGATGAAAAACCACACAGAACATGCAACCAACAAAAGAAAAAAGGAACCCATCCTGAGGATACTCTGAGGAAGCCAAAAAATTTTAAAAAGCATTATGCTGTAGACACCTGAATGTGTGGCTAAGCTGAGTTTGAATTTCCAAAGGAAATTAAGCCCAACAGTAAAAGACTATTAGCTAAAAAGATAGGAATATAAGGACTGGATTTGGGATGCAGTGAAGATCTAGTTGAAATGGAAGTATCTAGGTAAGGCAGAGTAGCAAAAGGAATGCTGTGCCTCAGTTTTCAGGGGGACCAGAGGTGGAGACCATGGACAGCACAGTGCAGAGAACAGCTGTTCAATGGAAATCAAGGCACAGTGTGCAAAACTCCAAAAGCCTAAGACCACAAACTCAGAGGGAACCTACAGTCTGTGGAAGAATTCTGAAGGAAACAGCACGTGGAATACACACTCAGTCCAAAGGGGTTTGAGGGAATGCATCAAAATGATGCACTGTACCAGGTAAGAACTGCAACCTAAATATACATTTCCCACATCTCATAAAATTACAGAACATGTTCCTCATTCACTGACCCCATAAATGCAGGAGTAGTAAAAGCATTTTGCATAGATTATGTGAACATTTTGCCCTCTTCTTTGTCTCTGGAAAACTCAGAGCTGTTCACTTGTTTATCCTCCAATAAAAACAAAGAACTGACTTGGTGAATTCTTTCCTGCTACTCTAGGTGTATTTCTGTTAGGATGACTTTGTTACTGCTTCAACTATCAGTAGTTATAGTTCATTTGAAGTCATTACTTTCCACCGTATTTAATACCCTAATAGGATATTAAAGCTGTTATTTCAATCCAGCTCTCTCATATTCTTCAACTAAAAACACTTTGATACAAAAGCTCCATTTTTTTTCTCTTAAGGAAATTCTAGCACCAATCTCAACATTATGCAGCATTCAATATGTGTTGTCTCAAAGCTGTCAATCTGTTACCTTTGACTTTTCTACATATTTCACAGGGCAAAATTCTTGTCTGTCTACTATCTACCCTGATTTATTTCTGTAACAGCAATATCCTGATCAAAATGCTCTCCAGATAACACCCAAATGTCCCTGTGCAAAATCAAGCTCTCAAAGTCTCCACAATTTAACAAAAACAGATGGTTATGGAGTCAAAAAACGGTTGAGGTCCATGGATACAGCCTGTATCAACTATCTGGTGATTTCAAATCAGCAGCTGCCACTGGATTAAGCAGTCCCTGAGAGAGAAACAAGGAAAAGCACCTTAAAGGAAGCATCCTGCAGTTCCAGAGGCATTTCTACTGCAGCTCAGCAGGGCAACACACCTTCCACTATTTGACTGCCCCGAGTGTTATCACATTATCCCTGCAAGGCTGGAATGAAAGTTCTATGTATCTATGGTTAAACTTGGACATTGAAAGGCACAGCTGAGAATCTGCATTAACAACAGCATTTTACAGTTAGGAAGCCTATTTTTAAAAACATTCTCCCTGTGTAATTACATGCTTGAAATGCTTCCTGAGGAATTGATCTGGAGAGTTTCTGCTTTTACTTTGATGTTGAAAAACTGACCCCTGTGAATAAGTGGCCTTTGCTCATTTACATCTCTCGATTACATTTTGATCAACAAGTTCTCCCCCTGCTTCAGTCCTGCAATCCCCTGCAATCAGCAGCATGCTGCTCTTCAGCCCTCTCAGCAAGCTCAGTGAGCTGGGCAGTGAACACCTCATTCCCTCACCTGGGCTGCTCTGCTAACAACTAGGTCTGAACAACATCAGAGTCACTGAAGCCTCCTGCAGACAGAGTGGAAGGAAAGTGGCACTATCTGGAATGTATCCACCTAGAAATGCAAACACATCCTTGCTCAGAAGATGAACACCAGGGTTTCCTCAGCACTCTCTGTACTGGCAATCAGCATCTCTAAGGGCTGGTGGAGCAGCTAAACAAACCCTCTCATGACTGTCTCAATAATGGTACTCATCAAGTAGAAAGCTGCACATGTCCTTTTTAATGATTTTTTTCTTTATTATTCTCCTGAGCTTTTGTCAGGACTTTCATAGCAGAAGGGAAGATGGCACTGACAGAAACCTTCACATGAATACAGTGTCTTTAGGTGTTGCACAGTGCCTCATGACATCAGGGATGCACTTACACAGTGCACACACACTGTGCATGGACCATGCATTGTGCCTACCTCCAGTCTCTGTAAATCAAATATTTTCCCCTCATGCTTCACAAAGAAGTCCAGGGGATGCAACAACTTTTCCCGAGTGACTGTCCACACACAAGCACACATCTGTGTATGAGCACAGACTCCTCCAGAGCTGTGTCTGCCTCTTCACAGAAACTGACAGACGCTTTGCTACACTCCCCAGTGCATTTCCCAAACATTCAAAACTCCATAAAGAGTTACTCTCTCAGCCTGTATCACAGGAGAGGTGATCCATCCCTCTGGCCATTTCTGTGCCCTCCTCTGAACCCATTCCAACAGCTTCATGTCTTTCCTCTGCTGAGGACCCTAGGGTTGAAGGCCCAGGCAGGTCTCACCACAGAGAACCAGAAGGGCAGAATCATCTCCCTTGACCTGTTGGGCATGCTAGCCTGTAATGTTTTTGCATTGAAAAGAAAAGAGAAATCTGTTTCTTACTTTATTCTCAACTGAAAAGTCAAGGCAGGAGACAAACTCCCTCTGAAAAACCTACCTATAATTTTACCAATGTTTAATTCTACTTAAACATGAAGTTGCAGAGCATACAGATATTGCAACTCATGAGTTTTATCATTTGAAGTGGCACTTAGGAACTGAAGATATTTGGGGGAAATTCTGCATCTGATGAAATTCTGTTTTGAATTTCAAAAATGAGCAGTTCTGCATCATTTTCTTGAACTTCAGGAAAAACACTGGTGCAAGTGCAGTGACTACAATTGTGTGAGACTGGCAGGAATCAGGTTGTCAAGTCTTCTGGTGTGAAGTCAAAAAACCTTCAAGAAAGGAATGTTTGGTACAGAAAGTAAGTACATTCAGAATCACCTGAATGGACTCTCAGCTCCTACATCCCACTAGATAAGTTTAAGGCTGAAGAACTACAAGGAGATTTGGGGTTGCAGCTGCAAGTCGATAAATAGTGAAGCAAATGAAGATCTGTAGCAACTAAATATGACTACATATTTTTAAAGAGCAAAAGACAATGTTATGTAAGACTCTGACGTGGTACTCAATGCAATTCTAGACTTCCTGAGTTACAATCGTGTGTTTCACTGTTAGATCAGTCCAACGTGGGTAGCAGCTCAGGGACACTGTTCACACACACAGTTCTGAGTTCTCCTGAACATGCCCTGATGCCTTGAGCCATCTTAGACATTAGTATTGAAAGAACAAACGAAACACTTACCCGGATCATCATGACTGAGCACCTGATGTTATGAATCGTATCATAGACCTTCTTTGAAACGTCCACAAACTGGTTATCGTCAAACAGATGCACCATATTCTTGCTTAAGCTCTCCAATGCAACATTGACTTGGCTAACAAACTCTGGAATCACTGGTTTAAAAAAAAAACAAAACCAAAATTCACCAATCATAAAAAAGAAAGAACATGAATTTTCTTCTTTCTGGCAAGTCACCTCACATTCATTTGAAAAAAGCATTATAGCAACAACACGACTCCTCTGAAGTTGGAACACATTTTTAGCTTTTTTCACAGGGAGAGAAATGCCCATGGTGAGCATGTGTGCTATCACAGTGCTACAAACAAGAAGGACATTTCAAAAGAGGAGTTGGGGAAGCAGCTGTAAAAATTTGTTGGCAATTACAACAGTAGTTTCACCCAAAGAACAAGAATGAATGGCTCAAAGCTGGAACTACTATTCAACAGACTCCTACCACTTTAGAATCTGCTTTCAGGCCAAGTGGAGACACCAAAAGACTGATTTATTATTTCATGCTGAAGTTTTTGCATACTGAAAGCATAATACAACATGAAACATCCAAGGCAGAGGCTGAAGCACGTAAAAAGAAGTTGTATACTAAAAGCAAAATGCAATGAGTATCTGCTTCTCTCTGACTCTGACATAGGCATCTTGCAAATGTGTATAGGCATTTTGCAACCTGCAAGGTCACCATACTAGTGGCATAACCAACAAGCATTCAATAACACAGCTGAGAATGTATATATATACTAACAAGTGCTTAGAAAATTATCTAGATATAAATATACCTACACATATCAATAGCTACAAAGGTACAGAATAAGTATTTGTTTCTATGTACATGTTTCCATACATATTTATACCTATGCAATGCTGAATACATGACAGCAGTTCTGTGGTACTAGATCTTCACAGTTAATAAAGGTAAGACTTCCAAGAGTTGACTGCCCTGAATATGAGAAAAGATTGGTAACAAGATCTAATTATTGGCAGTGTATGACTAATGAATGGCTATCCAGTAAATTGCTGCTTATGTCTTGAAAAGGCTCTAAACACACCCACGACAATGATTCAACTTCCTATCTGGAAAACGCAGAGTTATTCTCATTTGCACCAAGACAACTGAGATGCAGATGAAGTCACCATCACTCTGCAATGTGTGGCACAGGTCCAGGTGACTGTTTGTGCCTCTGGAACCTCTGGACTTTGCCCTGTGCAAGTGCTCTCTCTGCAGTCCTTGCACAGCCTGGCAGATGCATGTGACACTGCAGCTGGGAATTATGGCAGTGCCAGCAATTACACACCACTGTTCAAAACTTCAGTGGTGACTCAAAGGGATCATTTTCCCCTCACTGCACAGACATCCAGAAACAGCACAGAGAGAGGTGGGTTTGGTTTTGAGGGGCTAGATGGATTCCCCTATATGAGGTATTTATTAGGGGCAGGTCACAGCATCCAAAAGAGCAGAAAGAACCTTTAAATCCTTTACATAAGCCTCATTTTCTAAATCCCTCTACCTAATGCATTTTGCTGCCATGCTCAAGGTCAGACTGACCATGAGATCTCAGATAAGAATGGCATTTCCCCCTAGGACAGACTGGAGATGAATTTCAGAAGTTTTCTTGCATCTCTTACCAGACAGTGTGGACCATATGGGCCTGTCTTATCTCATCAGTTCCCTGCGACAGCAGCACATGTATGTGTGGTGGAAACATCACAGTTCACAGTCCAGAACCCAACGACATTCTTCAGCCTAATGGAAGTCACTGCTCTTCACTGAGAGGCATCACCTCTAAGTGCCTGTTTCTCACACTATTAAGACATGACCTGTGAAGGTGTTCTCAGGTACAGGTATGTACCTGCCTCACTGGTCTCACAGAGTCAATGTGTATTGAGTCAATACAAGATGACTATGCTGTTACTTAAAAGAAATCTGGAGCACTGCTGAAAAATTTACTATTAGCTCTCAGGAATAAAAGAAGTCAACATAGTTTTAAGAGAGCACACTAGAGAATAAACAAACATTTGAAAAATGGAGTACCAAGAGGTTGTAAATTATTTCCTGCCTATCTGGAAATGTATCAGACTAAATCACATAGATTGATTGCATCCATTTGCAATGTTGCTATGCTTGACCTTCATTTAATGTATGATACTTCATATAAGAAGCCTCTATTACCATGCTGGAGAAATTCACAGATTCAGAATGAGGCACATGCAACCATTTTTACACTGAAAATCCTTCTCACATACTAACACTAGATATTTTTAATAGCAAGCAAGTCACTAAGCAGAGAAAATATTCTGCTCTGGAAACTTGAGATTGCTCCCACAGAGTATGAACATATAGGTTAGAACTTTTAATTGCCCAGAAAAGATGACCCTCATACAAATGCAGCTGGGGTCTACTGTACAGAGTATGAACATATAGGTTAGAACATTTAATTACCCAGAAAAGATGACCCTCATATGAATGCAGCTGGGGTCTACTATAAGGAAAAATATTCCTAAATGCATCATTTGAAAAGGACTTCTGCATGTCACCTGGATCAGTCTCCTCCTTAAAAGTAACACCAACACAACATCAGGTCAGCCACAGTTTTGTCTAGCTAAGTCTTGAAAACCTTCAAAGACAGAAATTTCATTGCATCTCATAGTCTTGCACTGCATTTTCAATAAGTTCAAAGACAGAAATTTCATTGCATCTCGTAGTGTTGCACTGCATTTTCAATAAATTCCACTCTCCCCACATCCTACCTGAATTCCTTGCGCTGCAGCTTGTGGCTGTTGCCCTTTGCTGTGCCAACAGTCTTTCCCAAGGGTAAATGGCATCACTACCACTGCAACCATGTCCCAAGAAGCTCTAGGCTTCTGTTGATTACCCCTTGACTTGACATTCCATTACTGCTGCTTTAGATTGCTTGGTGAAGAGTTCTGTAACACTTTTTTTGCACAATACCCAAGGCACAAACCTTATCTGCTGACTGAAGCTGTCTGCCTTTCAACTTTTAATGCCTGACACCAACTGTAAAGGAGTCTGAGTGACAGACAGCTGTATATTCCTGCATGAAACTCCATGACAAGTGCTCTAATTCTGATGGATGCATTAATTCCACTTTGCTAGCCTACTGCATTATTCCAAAATACTCTAGCTGCAGCTGTTTAACAGTACTGGGTAAACTGAGAAGGTCTAGTGTTCTCCTTAACTGTGACAACACAAAGCCTACAGAAAACAAAATTATCTTCAGAGATGACTTTGCCCAGCACTGGGAATCTGGCAGAAAACAGGATACTGTCCCCAAAAAGTAAGGAGATGCCCTAGTTACAGGAATATTTGCTTGGCATATAATGCATTCAATTCCACATCTCCAAATAGTGCCATGAATGGTAGTGACAGACTTACTGAGACAAGAGGTGAACAAAGTGACCATAAGCTTATCATTTATGATTTCAGCAAGAATCCATTTTCCTGTGCTAACAGATTTATAATCCATCCACACATACACAGGCATACATAAATCCTACTGAACCATGCACATGCTCCCCTGCCTCAAAATCTATTGCATCATCTCCAGCCCTAGCAGTGCACAGTTACCAGGGAGGGAGGCATGGGAGCTGAAGGCATGTTGCCAGAAAGGAATCACTATGGAAAACAAAAGCAGATTTGAGTTAGCTGGAGGTAGCTGGAAATAATACTGGAGGGAGGAGGGAGACCATATAATTTATTATGATGACATGGCATGTTAAGAAAACTCTGAATTTTACTTTAAAACATTAAATGAATCCCATGCAAAATGAAAACTGTGGAAGGTGCTTTTTGTAATTCATACTAGAAAACAAGAACCAAAAAAGTATCAAAACTAAACTGAGCACTGTGAAAACAGCTATTAGCCTCATACACATACATTGATTTTATATTAATGCTGTGGTTTAAATGCTGCTTTTGCTAATTTTTCCCTTGAGAAGGAGGGAAAGCTCTTGGAGACTGTGCATTTAGGGACCACCCTGAACAGCACCAGGCACTCTGAGGCTCTGACTGAGCAAGGCCTGGGGAACTGGCCTGAAGAGCATTTCTTCTCAGTTCCTTGAATGACCACCAAGTGCAAGAACAGTTTAAAGCAAACAGATGTGAGTTAAACACATCTCAACATCCATAGAGTGTTTGTAAGCTGCCATGAGCAGTGATGCCAAGTTATTTTAGAGCAAGAGCTAAAGGGAAAAAAAAGATTGGCAAAAAGAAAAGGCATTATGGTCAGGGGCATTTTTTGCTCATCTGGAACACAAAACAATGTGGGCATTTCTGCCTGTTTTTCAGAACGTTCTTCATATCAGAAGCAACACAAGTTTTTTGATGCCAACATTTGTAACAGAATTTCACAGAAGGACCAGAGCACAGCCTGTCAGAATAAACAGACAGCAGCAGACTCAAACAGATGGAGGTTATTGACTCTGGGAGAGTAACAGTCCCAAGAATGAAGGGTTACTGATCAATTACCATCTTAAAGTCATCATGTAACTATAACCAAAAATATTTTGGGCTAAGTCATGCAAGCAATCTCAGCATTTTTCTTGGCCAATGTTTTTTTTCTTCTCTTAGCTCTTACAATGAACCTCTGCTGAACAGCTTCTTACAAGCTGTTCCTTATCTGAGTTGCACACCAATGTCACATGTTCACCAATTCTATAAGCTCACGTACTCAAGCCTCTCTCCAGGTCTTCTCTCAAATGAGTTGGGGATTTTTTATTTTTTTTACTATATTTTGAAGTGAAAAGACTCAGTCCTCTTGAGCAGCCTTTGGGCTTCACAAACAAGGGCAAAAACCTCTAGAATACTAAACAGACTTGAACCACAAGTCTTATCTTGAAATCTCATTCTGAGAAAGATGAACGAGCAGTGGAAAATATTTTTTCAGTAAAAACACTGGTCTTTCTAAATTAACACAAACTTTTGAATTTTGCACACACCACAGAATGACTGAGATTGATTCACTTCATTTTAGCTACCCCCAGATAAATCACTTAGAATAAAGTTGATCACATTGGTATCTTTTGTACTACAAGAGGTTAGGGAGCTTCAACAGCTGATTCATCCTATCTAAGGATATCTGAAGACACATCTTGGGAAAAGGCAGTGAAGTCTCTGGAGATGCTCCTCTCACCCTGTTTTGGTTTAGATGGCATGCCCAAAGATGCTAAAATAAGCACTGAATGTCAGAGTGGGCAGGAGAAAACAAGACTGCAAAGCCCTGTCCATCTCCTCTTTGGAGTGAAAGAAAACGCAACACTCTCGACGTGGAAAAGCAGACAATCCCTGCTGCAGACAATCCCTGCTGCAGACAATCCCTGCTGCAGAAGAATCAAGACACTGGACAAAGGAAACTGCCAGTCATTTTGCATAAGCTGTTGTGACAAACCTGCAAACTGTAGTTGGAAAAGGCAAGTGAAGCTGCTAGGAGAGCACAAAGTCAGCAGCCTGTGCACATAGGCATGCAGAAAATGGAACAGCTGGATAAAAAGCACAAGATGGAAGGAAGCTTGTATCAGATAACACCACCACAGCTTTATGGCTAAAATAAATTACCTTTGCCCAGATAAAAGCAATGAAGAAGATTTAATCCACCCTACAGAATCACTTAATAAAGTACTATCCAGGACAGCTCTGTTTCAGGTGTAATAGATCAGTATTAATACAAAGACTATACAACTGGTCACACTGAGAGGGCTGTGAAGGAAGAGGAGATTTGGAAGGTGGGCAAAAGAGCAATCTGGGGACCAATAAACAAATAAACCCATTAGGGTCAATAAATACATCCATTCATACTAGCACACAATACGACATTACAACATGCTGCTAATGCAGAAGACATCTGGGTCAGGGAGAACAGAATTACTTTTAGGGCAAAATTATAGGAAAGAACTTCCAAAAAAAGTAAACTGAAACCTGCAAAGATTTTAGAGAAAATCACTGAGAACTCCACAGAGGTCTAAAAGTTTAATGTCTTTGGCCTACTGAGGCCAAGTGATTTTAATCCAGTTGGAGGCAGAAGAATCACCCACATTGACACGGTAACAAAATGCACAAATTGGCCATGTATAACCACTGAAAATTTGTGAAAAATCTTTTGTTAGAAGCACTAGGCCTACACAGCTCTCAAGGAGATAATGGGATCACAAATTGCCCTTGGTATCCCCTTGCTGCACCAAATAATTATGATGATGTGTGCTGGTTTTGCCTGGGGTAGAGTTAATTTTTTTTCACAGTATGAGGCTGGTTTGGATTTGTGCTGGCACAGTTCATAACACAAGGATGGTTTCATTACTGCTGAGCAGCTTACACAGAGCCAAGGCCTTTGCTGCCACTCAGCCCACCCTGCAGCAGGGAGGTTGGGGTGTGGGGTCACAGTGACCTGTGAGGGGACACAGCCAGGACAGCTGACCCAACGGACCCAAGGGATGTCCCACACCAGTGGGGTCACACTCAGCATGAGGCTGGGGGAAGGTGGGCTGAGGAGCTGCTGCTGGGGCACTGGCTGGGCATCAGCAGATGGGGGTGAGCAACTGTTTGCATTTGCATCTCTTATTAATGATCTTTTTATTTCACTTAAATTATTATCATATTTTCAACTCAACTCACAGTTGTTCTCACTTTTACCCTTCCATTTCTCTTGCCCCATCTGGGGGGCAGTAAATAAATGAGTGTCTGTGTGGTGCTTAGTTGCAGGATGGGGTCAAACCATGGCATTATGCAATACTCATCATAAAGCTCCTCCAGCCTCATCAGTAAGTCATGGATATGGTTTGAATATGAAGTTTCTCCCTCACTCTGAAATATCTGAAAATTTGTACTTAACACAGATGATTATCCACTTAATAAAAAACACCTATTCTGTATTTTGCCCTTTGATCCCAAATTACAAGTAACATTGTTGGTAGCACATCAGAACAGCAGCAATTTCAACTGTCAACTCCATTACTACACTTCATAGTTTACAAGCACAAATGTCACATGGGCAAGGTTTGATGAGTTTCAATGAGACTACACCATCTAGGGCATATGGGCATTTGCACAAACATTTAATTTCTGTCCCTATATATATAAAGACAGGTAAAATGAAAAGTACGTGTTTCTTTCTTTGACTCTTATTAAAGAGCACAAATGGATGTTTTATAAAGTCATCTGAGATGTCAGCACGCTTGATGTCCCTTGAGACAGGTGAACATTCCAACCAAAACCAGTTGTATGTCTCCCTGTCTTCTGCAGACAGGCAGGTTGAGGTACTTTATCTATTACTGTCAAAGCAAGGCAACAGCACAGAAATCTGACTAACACCTTTAAACACTATCTGTTTCAAGAAAGATGCACTCAGCTTCTACATGGGAATCAAAACTATTCTTTTCTATGCTGCTTCCCTTGGTACTTGTCACAGTACTTTCAGAAGTCAGAAAAAAAAGAATATAATGGTGCAAATTTTCAGATTTTTTCATCAAACAATCAGAAAAGAAGATGAACAAGTCTATTTCAAACTCTTCTCACCATTTTGCCCCTTTTCCCCCTTCACTGTGATGTCAGGTTACTCTCATTCACATAAGGACAGTTCTGCTCTAGACATATTTGAACTTATGAAGAAAGAGCTCAAACAAAATTCCTGTCTTTTCTTGTGGCAAAATAAAGCAAGTGCCAGTCAAATGTAAGGTACTACACATTTGTTTAGACTGACAGAGCTCAGATTTAGACTTCTGAGATCATGAAATTAAACCCTGTATTCCAGAGATGCACAGACTTGCCAGAAAATTTCTTAAAAGCAGTTTAACTGCCCAACTATTAGACTTACAAGCACTAGAATCATGGAAATTGTGTGAGCTCCACAGATATTTTTTTATGAAAAGCCATAGAAAAGGCAGTTAGACCTTGCTGCCAATACAGGCACTTTCCAATTTAAGATACCCTCATTTTTAATAGTATGAGAAAGAAAATGGAGACTACTAATCATAGAATCACAGGATGGTTTGGGTTGAAAGGACCTTAAAGTTCATCTCGTTCCAATGCGCTGCCAGGGGCAGGGGCACCTCCCACTAGCCCAGGTTGCTCCAAGCCCCATCCAGCCTGGCCTGGACCACTTCCAGGGATGGGACAGCATTGGAGACTGAAATCTTAAAGGTCAACGACTCAAACAATCAGCCATTTGCAAAGGCATTGGGGAGATTTGCTGATTCTAACTCTGTGCTCCCCAGACTAACCACTGTGGGAAGTTTCAAATTTGTTTAGAAAAACTGAAGACGTTTTGGGATACCTGATCACTGCTCAACAGTCTTTACAGCTGAAGCACACACTGCTGCTCTTTTCCGAGTTTGCCTTCATCTGCTTAGAGCAGGAGTGGCCAGGCCAGTGCAGTAAGTGGGAAGCTGCTCCTCACTAGTTACAAGTCTCCAAACATTGTTACATACATCAATTTAAGAACCCCAGTAAAAGTCTTCGATAATGTGAACAACCTTACACAGACCATGTAGTTCTAAGAAAGTTTTAAAAAGTAGTTTTGAACTGCACGGTATCACCATAGTATGAGAGCATGCTGAGAGGAGAGACCATGCACTGAATCATTAGTGCATCAGATCAGAGAAACACAGGGTTCACTTTACATGTGGCATGTAAAGGAAAGGTTACACCACTGAAAAATCTGCAGACTTACCACTCTTGGTCAAATAGTGAACATTTGCCATCACTCCTTCCGTGTAAGCTCCGGGCTCGTAGTTGTCCATCTCTCCCAGAACAACGTGTGCGACTCTGGAAGCGCGGCCTCGGATGGCTCCCGCCGCACGCTCCAAGCCCTCCGCATCTTGCTCTCTCAGGGCAACGATACACTTGTTCACATCCTCCAGAATGTGGCTTTCTGCAAACAGAACAGCAGCTCTTTCAGGATGGCACCTCTTAACACCCAGACACCATGCCGACACAGCTCACCGCGCTTTCTCCTCCCCTGCTGAAAAGCAGTGGCCACTTTTGAATGAAAACTCCTAGTTGTGACACGTAACATGTCAAGTTCTATTAACCTTGATAATAGAGTAAAATAAGAATTGATAGTATGGTGATAACTTTTGAGGGGTTTGGTAGGAATCAGGGAAAATATAAGCCTGTGTGTAGTATTTCTGCTGGGCAAACTAGTATAGACTTTTATAGAAACTAGAACAGTGTCATTAAGAAGAGCCCAAATAGCTCTGTAGAGTAGAAAGCCAAGGATCACAACTTGGAGGCACCAGCAACGAGTGAGACAAGCGATTTGTTTGGAAACTATAGACTGGATTTTCAAAAGGCTTTCACCTGCTATTCCTGGACAGCTCTGAGATGGCATGGGATAAGATGACAGATTTACCTGGGTATTATTTCCCACAAAGCAGAAAACAAGGGGTAGAAAGAAGCCCACAGTTTCCCAGCTACATAAGCCAGTGGCACCACAGAGATTTCCTCTGAAATACGGTCATTCAATACTTTCAGAAACAATACAAAAAGAGAGTATTGAAGTACCAAATGAGACTTTTTTCCCACCTTTTCTTATTTTGGGTAGTCAAAGTTGACAACAAAGAACTGCACATGGTATCACAGTACCAAGCGATCAGTCAGTAAAGCAGATCACTTCAACATCAATAAATTCAATAAATGTGATAGTGAAAAACAGCTCTAAGTCTATATACTATACTGAGTTCTAAATTAGTTACTCCTATAAAGTCTAGAAATTTCTGAAGTCAATTATGAAAACACTAGAAGCACACTAGATCTACAATAAATAAAAGGCAACTAATGCTGGGATTTCCCAGGGAAGACTCAACAGTAAAGAAGCATCTAAGTTGCTGCAAATAGTTCTTGCCCTTATTTCATCTGAAAATATCCATTTCTGTAAGCAGGAGGACTAAACCTCCTATTTGTCCACAAGGTACATCTCTAAATTGTTGAAGTAACAGCCATTATGCTATGGAAGACAAAGAGTTTAAGAGAAAGAGGAGAGAAAAGCAGAGGATATTCCCAGCAAGGGCAAAGTCATAGGATGGTTCTGGCAGAGTTTCTAGGTGGCTCATTGGACTGACAAAAGCTGCACCAGCAGAACCAGGCTTGGCATGCTTAGTGACACACACTTCAAGCCTTTGGTCTTGATCAAACAGGGAACAATCCAGAGCCATTTCCTTACACTCCAGGTTAGAACCATGAAGGGGGAAGCTTGACCACTCTAAGTCCAGTGAATTGGTATTTATCCTGAGGCATATTACAGTTGGGCCAAATGAACTTGATAGAAAAGGTAGTGAAACCCACTGTGTAAATTATTTTCCCATTTGAATACCTCTTCACTCTAAGTAAATGCATATCTACTTATATTCTTATGTTTATTCTCTCTCAAAAAGCAAGACATGGTATGTTGCTATTGCAGGACCAAAGAGCCAGCATGAAAGCATGAAATTTAATCTCAAGTCCTTGAATAGCACCTGGGTTTTTTATCCTGATCTCCATAACTGTGCTAAGGTTGAATCTGTAATTGGCAATTTTTGTGGTGCATTCATCTGTAAACATGCTACACAGACTGGAAAAGTGGTAATAAACTGAACCAGAACTTTAAACCACTGATGGAAAAACAAATTATATCAAGGCAGATAAGCAAGCCAGAGATCAGAATCACTCCCTCACTCCTTGCCCAAGCATTTACAGTATATTTTGCAGTTTCCTTCGAGTGACTTCACCTGCCCAGACTGCCATCCTAATGATTGCAACTGTACAAAGTGATCTGAGACATGAGCATGACCAAAATCTAAAATTTAGTACTCTAACAACTATCACATGCTGAGGCCTGGCCTTATGATGCACCAAAGTGCTATTCATCAGCTGCTGCTTGTTTAATAGAATAAAAGACACAGCAACATTACAAAGTTAAAAGAAAGGTGATCTCAGCTTTCCACTAGGGAACAGCTTAGATCTCTTACTCCCAGACTCCCAACTAAGAGTGTTACAGTATCCATATGGAAGAAAATGATGGTATTAGTAAATTAGCATCATTGCAATGTTTTTCCTTGTAAGCAGAAAACAGAATATTCTCTCACCCAGAAATAACTTGTTTGGTTATGGGGGGGGGGGCTGTGCTTTTACAAACTGAAAGCATTTAATGAAAAATTTCTGGGACTCTTTTGCATCTTAGAACATGTAAAACCTTTTAGTGTGATCGCAGTTTAAAAGCTAGTTCAACAGGAACCAGAACACAGGCTTCCCCTTCCTCCACAAAAACACCAAGGCTGTCCATTTTGTCCTGACTGGCAATCACCAAGGAATACACAGGAGGCACTGGGCAACAGATTCCACTGTCTACCTGTGCTGGTTTGAGCTGAAGT